GGAGGCTGAGGCAGGCAGATCACTTGAAGGTCAGGAGTTTGAGACCAGCCTGGCCAAAATGGTGAAACCCTGTCTCTACTAAAAATACAAAAATTAGCCAGGCATGGTGGCAGGTGCCTGTAGTTCCAGCTACTTGGGAGGCTAAGGTAGGAGAATTTCTTGAACCTGGGAGGCAGAGGTTGCAGTGAGCTGAGATTGCACCACTGTACTCCAGCCTGAAGTGAAACTTCATCTCAAAAAAAAAAACAAAAAAGGTGGTACTTTGGAAATAATAATAATAGACCTTTGCCAAGACTGATTTTAAACAATGCAAAATGTATAATAAAGGAAAATTATAGACACAAAAAGGCTAAAAATTGCAAACTAATGCACTTGAAAACAGATGAAAAGCAAAAATTTTAGGAAACATTAAAATGTGCTCAAATGAATGCAAAAATAAATAGAAAGCTTGGCCAGGCGTGGTGGCTCACACCTGTAATCTCAGCACTTTGGAAGGCCGAGGCAGGTGGATCACCTGAGGTCGGGAGTTCAAGACCAGCCTGGCCAACATGGTGAAACCCTGTCTTAAAAAAAAAAAAAAGAAAATAAATAGAAAGCTTGAATGTAACCAGAATATAGCTACATTTTAGGAAAATTTAAAATGATAATCCAGGTGCAGTGGCTCAAACCTGTAATCCCAGCACTTTGGGAGGCTGAGGTGGGTGGATCACCTGAGGTCGGGAGTTCAAGACCAGCCTAACCATCATGGAGAAACCTGTCTCTACTAAAAGTACAAAATTAGCCAGTTGTGGTGGTACATGCCTGTAATCCCAGCTACTCAGGAGGCTGAGGCAGGAGAACCGCTTGAACCCGGGAGATGGAGGTTGTGGTGAGCTGAGATTGCGCCATCACATTCCAGCCTAGGCAACAAGACTCCATCTCAAAAAAACAACAACAAAAAGATAATCGAAGATACCCCATCTTATTGTAACAAACAGCCTCAGGCCCAGCCCCAGATGGTTTTGTAGATTGTAGTTTTATCAAACTTTCTAGGGACTGTAATTCCCATCTTATACAAATTGTTCCAGAAAATAGGAAAAGAGAAAAAGTTGTACAGTTCCTTTTATGAGGGTAAAATAGTCTTGCTTCTAAAACCAGATAAGGAAAATACTAAACTATAAAGTTATAGACCTACTGAACTTATGAATATAGATGCAAAAATTCTAATAAAATATTGGCTACCTGAATTCAATAGTGCATTTTTTAAAAAATCACAAGTAGGTTTTATCCCAGTAATGCAATTGACCCAAATTAGAAAATTAGTGAATGCAATTAACCACATTAATAAAGGAAAAATTATATGATCTCAAAGCAGAAAAGGATTTGATAAGGTTCAGTGCCTGTTTATGATATTTAAAAGGGGGCTGGGCATGGTGGCTCATGCCTGCAATCCCCATTCTTTGGGATGCTGAGGCAGGTAGATCGCTTGAGCCCAGGAGTTTTAGACCAGGCTGGGCAACATGGCATAACCCTATCTCTACAAAACAAACAAACAATAACAAAAACTGTTTGCAAACAAAATAAAAGTAGAAGAGAACTTCTTTAACTTCATAAAGGTTACATGGCAAAATCTTACAACAAAAATGCTTAACAGAGAATTTTTAAATGCATTTCCCTTTAAGATCAGGAACAAGGCAAGGATGTTCACTCAATACTATTCCTTAATATAAAACCAGCTAATGCTATAAGGAAAAAGAAGTGAGGTGTACATTGAAGAAGGAATTGGTAGAACTCATTTGCAAATGATTTGAGTGACTACCTTAAAGAACCAACAGAATGACCAAAACAATTAACAGGACTAATAAGAGAGTTCAGCAAGGTTTCCCAATACAAAATCAACCTGTAAGAATCAAAAGCATGTCTGTACAGCAACAATAACCAACAAAAAAAATAAAGTAAGGGCCGGGCGCGGTGGCTCAAGCCTATAATCCCTTTGGGAGGCCAAGGCAGGTGGATCACGAGGTCAAGAGATCGAGACCATCCTGGTCAACATGGTGAAACCCCGTCTCTACTAAAAATACAAAAAATTAGCTGGGCATGGTGGCGCGTGCCTGTAATCCCAGCTACTCGGGAGGCTGAGGCAGGAGAATTGCCTGAACCCAGGAGGTGGAGGTTGTGGTGAGCCGAGATCACGCCATTGCACTCCAGCCTGGGTAACAAGAGCGAAACTCTGTCTCAAAAATAAAATAAAGTAAGAATGAATTTAATAAAAAAGACTTCTGGCCAGGTGTGGTGGCTCATGCCTATAATGCCAGCACTCTGGGAGGCCGAGGTGGGTGGATCACCTGAGGTCAGGAGTTTGAGACCAGCCTGACCAATATGATGAAACCCTGTCTCTACTAAAAATACAAAAATTAGCCAGGCATGGTGGCATGTGCCTGTGATCCCAGATACTCAGGAGGCTGAGACAGGAGAATTGCTTGATCCCAGGAGGTGAAGGTAGCAGTGAGCCAAGATCGCACCATTGCACTCCAGCCTGGGCAACAAGTGAAACTCCATGTTAAAAAAAAAAAAAAAATTAAGCTCTAACAATAGAAATCGATGATCTGAATAATGAGAGAGACATTTCATGCTCTTTGCTGGAAAGATTTTGATAATGCGTAAGTTATTTTTAGCAAATTATCCCAAAACTTAGTGGCTTAAAACAATGAATATTTATTATCTCACACAGTTTTGGAGAGTCAGGATTCTGAAAGTGGCTTAACTGGGTGGTTCTGACTCAGAGCCTCTCATGAGGCTGCAATCAGGATGTTGGCCAGGATTGCAGTTATCTGAAGGCTTCTATTCACCTTTAAAGAAGGCTTGTTCAGCTGGGCGCCGTGGCTCACGCCTGTAATCCCTTTGGATTACTCTGGGAGGCTGAGGCAGTCGGATCACCTGAGGTCAGGAGTTTGAGACCAGCCTGACCAATATGGTGAAACCCTGTCTTTGAAAAAAAAAAAGAAGAAGAAGAAGAAGAAGACTTGCTCACGTGGCTGTTGGCAAGAGACCTTAGTTTCTTGCCACCTGGATCCCTCCATAGGGTTGCTCATGACATACCAGCTAATGTCCCACAAAGTGAGCAATCTGCATGAAGAGAGCAGGAAGCAGACATTCCTTTTACAACCTGGTCTTGGAAATGACACACTATCTCTTACACCTCATTCTGTGCTTTACAATTGAGTCACCAAGTCCAGCACACGTGCAAATGGAAGGGACTTAGGCTCCAACTCTGATGAGTTCAGTATCAGAATGTGGGCATATCTTAAAACCTCCAGTTAATATTAGTAAGATGTTATTTCTCCCAAAATGTATAAATTCAATGCAATCTCAATAAAACTTCCAATTACTTTTTTAAAAAATGTTTTGAAACAGAGTCTCACTTTGTCACCCAGGCTGGAGTGCAGTGGCATGATCATAGCTCACTGCAGGCTCCAGCTCCAAGATTGTGCCAGTGCACTCCAGCTTGGGTGACAGAGACTCAAAAAAACAAAAACAAAAACAAAAACAAAAAACCTAAACGTGAGAGCAAAACTATAAAGTTAATAAAAGAAACTGTAGGAGAATATCTTGTGACCTGGGGGAAGAGAATTGATTTATATAAAAGCACAGACCATAAGGAAAACAAAAGATTATATCAACATTATGGATCTTTATTCAACTAAGGTTACTGTTTACAAAGTTAATAACACAAATGCCAGAGCTGGAGAGTCTGTTTCCAACTCCTAAGGGATTCATAATTAGACTCTGTGAGGAATCCCTGACAATCAACAGGAAGATACATATGAGAATCGGCCCAACAGAAATATGAATGTATTGTATTCTGAATGTTAGCAAATTTGGTCCGTGTTGGGCAAATTCATTCTATGGATAAGAAATTTAGTCTCTGAGGGCAAACTAACCTATTCTTTGTTGATGAGGTGCTCAGAAATGAAAAATCTGTCAAATCCGTTTATTGTAAAGGTAGCCCAGACAATGAAGACCAAATTATGGGCAGTGGGCTCAGACACCACTTGCTTGGGATAAGCCTATTGTGTATTGCGAAAGTCCCTTCTGTGAATCAAGGTCTCAGTTACTTTTGAAGAGAGCAAAAATTGGATTAGGATTTGCCTCTGAAGATCTTAGAATCCTGTTTTGTAAAAGGCATCTCAGGCAGTCTACTGGTGAGAAAATTAAGGGGCTGGCTTCACGGGGGAGTCAGACAAGGATGAGGACTGAAGTCAGAGATGAGACGGAATGATGCCAGGGAAAAGGGTCCCATGACAGATGGCTAGATGTTGAGCACAGAGGAGAAAAAATAAGAGTTAGGGTCAAACCTGAAAACGTAGGGTCTGACATCATGGACTGTGAAGGGTGATGACATTAGTGATGGTGGGGGAATACAATGTTGGGCGTTTGAAGGATATGAGGTTAAGGAACTAGAAGATGAGCCGGGCATGGTGGCTCATGCCTGTAATCCCAGCACGTTGGGAGGCTGAGGCGAGCGGATCACGAGGTTAAAAGATCGAGACCATCCTGCCCAACACGGTGAAACCCGTCTCTACTAAAAACATCAAAATTAGCTGGGCGTGGTTGCGCGCGCCTGTAGTCCCAGCTACAGGCTGAGGCAGGAGAATTGCATGGGGCGGCGGAGGTTGCAGTGAGCCGAGATCGTGCCACTGCACTCCAGCCTGGCGACAGAGCAAGACTCTGTCTCAAAAAAAAAAAAAAAAAAAAGAATTAGAAGATGAAGGAGGTTGACATCAGAGAATGGCAGGGACCTAGAGCAAAACAGCTGCGATGGTGAGGAAGACATCAGATCCAGCGGGGGAAATGATGGTAAGGACGGGAGGACGATGTCAGGGACGGCAGGTAGTATAAGAGTGAGGTTTCTGTGTGGAAGGGATGAAGACGCTCAGCCGGTTGTTGGGGGTGGATGCTGACATTTAGGGTGCACCAGTTTTGGAAAAGTCGACACCATTTCCGGAAACGCGCAGAGAGCATTGCCCCCTTTGCTTTGCCGTCCCTTCCTCTCCCTACCACCACGCCCCTTCTGGCCTCAGCCAATCAGCACGCACGCCGGAACGCGCAGGGTGAACGGTCTGTGACGTCCTCACTACGCACGCTTTATCAGTCGTCTTCCCGCGCAGCTCCATCTCTGTTTTCTCTGCTCTTCCGACCTCTCTGTGTGTTCGGCTTCTTTACGTTCTAATTTCCAGGTAAGCTGCGTATGTCCTGCGCAATGGCAGCTCCTAGCCACATATGCGCCGCGCCGCCCGAGACCAGGGGATAGCGAGTAGGGAGAATAAAGGCCAGTGACACGTAGGCTTGGCTTTTTCTGGGGCGTGGGGTCCCATGCTCGGAGGTGAAACGTTTCGGTTGGTGGAAAGCCGGCGCGCCGCGTTTGAGTGTGAGGCGTACCGGGAGGGCATGGTGGCGTCAGTGGTGTCAGTAACCACGCGACAGCCTACACTTGATTTCCTTTCCTCACGTGGCGACCGCCATCTTGTTCCGCCAGCGTCGAGGGAAGGCAAGGATGCTCTGGGCTTGCGCAGTGGCACAAAATGACGGGTGTGGCGGCTGTGAATTTGTGTGAGGATGCGCGATGGTGGTTCCCTAATGGTGGCGGCGCTGAGCCAGCCCCGCAGATTGCCACCTTATTGGCCTCCTTTCTCAGCCTCTCTCTAGTTATCCATATTTTGTTCCTCTTTCTTGTCTATTTTCTGTGCTTCTCTGCCTTTCGCTGTTTTCTCACTTCTCCATTTTTTCTTCCTTTCTGCCACCATTCTTCTTCTTCTTACAGGACTTGAACTCGCTGCCATGTCCTCTGAAGAAGGAAAGCTTTTCGTAGGGGGGCTCAACTTTAACACCGATGAGCAGGCACTGGAAGACCACTTTAGCAGCTTTGGGCCTATCTCTGAGGGTGAGATGGGCCAGATTGACAACGGGGGTTGGTGAGGAAAGTCTGGGACCCTTGTATTTCAAAGAATATTAAGCGAAAAGGCAGAACCCCAAGCCTCCAAATTCTTTTTTTCCCTAAACTTACAGTGTCGACTAAGGCTGAGGAAAACATCTTTGGAATTGGTAGGAGGGCTCCTTTTTCCCTACCTACCGCCATTCCCTTTTCAGGCCACCCTTTGCTACTTGACCTTTGTGGTGCTGACTGGTCCACATTGTTCCATTTTTCTCTTCCTCACAGTGGTTGTTGTCAAGGACCGGGAGACTCAGCGGTCCAGGGGTTTTGGTTTCATCACCTTCACCAACCCAGAGCATGCTTCAGTTGCCATGAGAGCCATGAACGGAGAGGTGGGGCATCCTATCTGCAGAGGGGCCTTACCCCCATCTGCAGCTTCCTTCATTCTGTTTTTACCCTCTGTCTGCTCGGGGCAGCGTGGCCACCAAGCCCCGCAGTGTCCACTCACAGGAGCATGACTGCCTTCTGTTCTAGGGGGTGGAGGGCAGCGGCATACAGAGCCTGGCCGCCTGGGAGGCGACGACTGGTCCTGCATGAGGCCGAGAAGCCACCTGTGGATGGTTGACCTGCCTTGGGCTTAGGTAGTAGAGTCTGCAGACCTGTGGGCCTGGCCGGGAGAGGACCTCGTGAGTCTTCTGACATGGACTCTGAAGCCTCAAACCAAGAGAGGTGTCTGTCTAACCCTGATAGTGGGGCAGCTTAGAGGAGTGGGGAGGAGAACTCAGCCTGAGTTCAGTCAAGATGTAAGTAGTAGCAAAGGGAACACGGTGCTTTCAGGTCATTTTATGTGGGATTCTGTAGCTCCTGATAAATCCATTCTTGTGTAAAGGAGCTTATTCTGGAATGTGGCACCACCCAGAACCTGTTGCCCAGCAGGAATTTTTGGGTTCTTTTGCCCACTTTGCCCATGCCTGCTCTTCCCTCACCACTGCCCTGATGGACTGTCAACCCATCCTCCTTGTGTCTCCCACACGTAGTCTCTGGATGGTCGTCAGATCCGTGTGGATCACGCAGGCAAGTCTGCTCGGGGAACTAGAGGAGGTGCCTTTGGGGTCCATGGGCGTGGTCGCAGCTACTCTAGAGGTGAGTGCAGTGATAAGTTTGATCATGGGGTGAGAGGGAGAATTGCCTATGTGTGGATAACTGCCATTTAAATATTTTTTCTTCTGTAGGTGGTGGGGACCAGGGCTATGGGAGTGGCAGGTATTATGACAGTCGACCTGGAGGGTATGGATATGGATATGGACGTTCCAGTTCCAGAGACTATAATGGCAGGTGCGTAGCCAAGGGGTTGGGGTGTTTTGCTATTGCTTTCGTCTCCTTAAGAACTCAGTGCCTGGGTGTTCATATGTACCACACCCTGTTTTTACTAACGTGTGCTTAAAATGAATATGAAGTATTTTGAGTTAATTGTGTGGTCATACAGTTGCAAGATGATAAAGTATACTATATGTTAGTTGTGCTGTGTGGGTTAGTTATGTAACTATATTGTTTTAACATGTAATATTTAATATACTACATATAAATTGTATGCCATGAAACTTTAAGCATATGTGACATATGCTTAACATACCCTGTTTTTGATATCTAAAGTTTATATGTTATGGTACATACTATAAAATGTGATGCATACAATTAATGTCAGTGGTGTTTAATGCAGTCTTGGAAATCTGTGTTTTTTTCTTTCAGAAACCAGGGTGGTTATGACCGCTACTCAGGGGGAAATTATAGAGACAATTACGACAACTGAAATGAGACATGCACATAATGTAGGTGAGACTTGGATATCGGCATTGAATGAACCTGTTTGTCACACTCTGTCATCCTATTTGTCACACTCTCATGACCCTCTCACCTTTTCTGGCAAGACTACTCTGCCCTCATATCTCACTCAGCCAACCTACCAAACACCACTCCTAGGTCTTCCTTGCTCTCAGGTGCATGTCAGAGCTAGTCTGCTAGGGGGTGGGATCTGAAAACCCATCTATAATTCTCTACTCTTGGTGTGTGATGGAGGAAATGAGGGGGTGTCCCTGTTGTCTAACACTCAGCATCTTTATCAGCTCTAGGAGGTGAGCATGTTGTCAGCCTCTTCCTTCATGACATCATAATTCTTCCCCTCTTGCTGTTCTCAGATACACAAGGAATAATTTTTGATCCAGGATCGTCCTTCCAAATGGCTGTATTTATAAAGGTTTTTGGAGCTACACTGAAACATCTTATTTTACAGTATATCAACCTGTTTTTTAAATTGAGCTGCCAAGGTAGCCAAAGACCTGTTAGACATCTCTATCTTTAAAAAAAAATTTTTTCTGCCTGTTTAAAGACAACATTTGTAGAGCCTGAGTATTTTTCTTTTTACCAGTTTTTTAGTTTGAGCTCTCAGGATTATTGGATCTAGCAATAACTGGCAAGTTGGGCCAGATTGATTTCAAAAAATTAATATGTATCCAGGGACATTTTTAAAACCTGTACACAGTGTTTATTGTGGTTAGGAAGCAGTTTCCAAATGTACCTATAAGAAATGTGCATCAAGCCAGCCTGACCAACATGGTGAAACCCTGTTTCTACTAGAAATAGAAAAATCAGCTGGGTGTGGTGGTGTACGCCTGTAATCCCAGCTACTCAGGGGGCTGAGGCAGGAGAATCACTTGGACCCAGGTGGCAGAGGTTGCAGTGAGCCAAGATCGTGCTACTGCCCTCCAACCTGAAAGAGCGAGACTCCTCTCAAAAAAAAAAAAAAAAAGAAAAAGAAAAAAAAAAAAGGAAAAGAAGTGTGCATCAAGAGCATGATTATCCAGGGGTGTTTTCTAATTCAGATCGCTGACCTGATTATATAGAAGAGTTGCTTTAAAATGTTTGCAGATGTCTTTTTTTTTTTTTTTAATACTGGAAGAAAAAATATTCTGTTGTGTCTCATATAGTGTGTTTAGGATGTCCTTCACAGAGCTTATTAAAAAGATGAACCTGAAAATAGACTGCTTTTTTCTTACTCAGACTACTTTGCAAATTAAAAATGGGGGCAGAGGTGGGCGGATCACCCAGGGTCAGGAGTTCAAGACCAGCCTGGCCAACATGTCTCTACTAAAAATACAAAAGTTAGCTGAGTGTGGTGGTGGGCATGGGTAATCCCAGCTACTCAGCAGGCTGAGGCAGGAGAAGTGCTTGAATCCAGGAGGTGGAGGTTGCAGTGAGCTGAGATTGCACTCCTGCCTGGGTGACAGCAAGACTCCTCAAAAAAACAGGCACATCATTGGGAGGGAGGCTTGGAGAATACCTCGTTGGTGCGTGGGCAGGGACTGCCAGAGGGTTGGGTGTACATGAGGCCTAAGGTGTGGTGGGTACAGGTGAAATCTTACGGCTAGAATTGGGTTTCCTAAGCTGGTCTCTTAGTCCCATTGTCTAATCAGTTTGGGCCTGAATCTCCCTAGCTTCTCTGAGCATTAGATGGTCACCCTCACAAGATTATTCTGAGAATGTTAGCACCTAATCTCATGGTGTGAGCTAAAATAGTGGTACCAGTTCATTCCTTCCCCTGAAATGACGTGGGGGTTGGGGACAGGTGCACTGAACTTATCTTTGTGAGGGCCATAAGAGAGGCCTAGTTTGAGAACAATGCTAAGAGATCAGATGCCAAGATTTATGTTGGGGCTCTAATACTTCCCAGCTGTTTGACCTTGGGTGAGTCATTTAACTTCAGCCTCATGCCATTTTACATGTTCTGTGGAGGGTTAGGTTAATCGGCATATAAAGCCACTGAGAAGAGTTGGCAAAGCTCAGTCATGGGATTTGATACTGGGTGTGTGTCTTGAGGGGTAAGGTGGTGGTGATTTTGTAACTCTAGCTGGTCTTTTAGCTCCTCAGTTCTCCCTTTAGTCCTGGTTCTTTCTAGTGGCTGTACTGGGGTCCCATGGGTGTTATCCCTCCATTGGTTCTAGTTTGGAAGATACAAATATTGTGTTCATGGCTTTCACCTGGTTAATATGAGACGAGTTACCACCAAGTTGCAAGCTCCAGGACATTATTGTCCTTAGCTGCCTATTCCACCCTCATGTGTTGTGGAGCCCTGTATTATGAGTTCCAGTCCTGGAGGCCTGCTTCCTGAGATTCCCAGCTAGTTATGACAGGCCTCAATATCCCTTCTTCCTCTAACCCAAACAGTCATGAATCTGCTTTGGCAAGTGGATGGAGACTCGGGAACTTGGACTTCACCCACTGACCCAGGCCTGGTTATGGGACATTGTGGCTAACCCCACCTAGTGGGTACTTGGTCTGAGGAGGCATCCTCTTCTGAGCCTTTGGGGAGCTAAGACCGTGAGAGTTGGCAGGAGGACCATCGTGATGCCTCATAGGTTGGGGGATTGGAGGGGGTCCTCTGCTCCTTGCCTCTCAGGATGACAATGTACCTCTTACCCCAATGTCAGCTGAGGTAAGATCCATAGTAATATTCCTGCAACAAAATGACTCCCTAAGTGGAAGCAATGAAGACTAAAAATGGCCTTGTAGGTCTGTTGTATAACAGCTTGTCAACCTGTTCTGCTCTGCTCTGTTTACAATGTGCTTTGTGATCATCCAGCCCAGGGAGTCCCCATCTCTTGCTATCTGCTCTAAGGAAAAGAGCCCACGGTTTTCTGTAGTGCCATAGTCCCTAATAAAGTTCCAGATTTGAGGTCAACCCCGCCCACAAAGTGCTTGTTGGTGTTGGTCTCCCACTTTGGTTTGTCTTCAGCATTCAGCTAATGCACATGTTTGTCAAGAACCCACTGAGAGTAGAAACCCACCCCCCAACCACTTAAGGTACCTTGAGAACATGTATCCCAAGACCTGCAAAGACCAAATGCATGGCCTGAGAGTACTTTCACTTTCAAGCCCTGGATCTTGTCTACCAAAAATCTTTTTTTTTTTTTTTTTTTTTTGAGACGGAGTTTCGCTGTTGTTACCCAGACTGGAGTGCAATGGCACGATCTCGGCTCACCGCAACCTCTGCCTCCTGGGTTCAAGCAATTCTCCTGCCTCAGCCTCCCGAGTAGCTGGGACTACAGGCGCGCACCACCATGCCCAGCTAATTTTTGTATTTTTAGTAGAGATGAGGTTTCACCTTGTTGACCAGGAAGGTTTTGATCTCTTGACCTCGTGACCCACCCGCTTCCGCCTCCCAAAGTGCTGGGATTTTAGGCGTGAGCCACCACGCCCGGCCTGTCTTTCTAAACCTTTCACCAAATCTCTTAAATTGGCTTTTGGTTTTCATTTAGGCTTTCAAGTCCTAAGCCCCACCCCTCTTACCCCACTTAGACAGAGATCACTTTTTAGATCCTTGCATTCTAGTTTAATTTCTTCTCTGCCTCAATTTCAACATCCATGAAATGGAAATAATACCCATCTCACACCGGTTTGGATAATTTTTTTTTTTTTATTTGAGATGTAGTTTTGTTCTTTTTGCCCATGCTGGAATGCCTTGGCGTGATCTCGGCTCACCACAACCTCTGCCTCCCAGGTTCAAGTGATTCTCCTGCCTCAGCCTCCCAAGAGGCTAGGATTACAGGCATGTGCCACCACACTTGGCTAATGTATTTTTAGTAGAGATGGGGTTTCTCCATGTTGGTCAGGCTGGTCTTTTAACTCCAGACCTCAGGTGATCTGCCCACCTTGGCCTCCCAAAGTGCTGGGATTACAGGCATGAACAACCACGCCTGGCCATTAAAAAAATGGCCACACAAAAAGTGTGTTTTGTTTTTATTTTTAGAGACAGGGTGTCTGTCTTCCAGACTGGAGTGCAGTGGCGTGATTTCAGCTCACTTAAACCTCCGCCTTCTGGGTTCAAGCTATTCTCACGCCTCATCCTTCCAAGTAGCTGGGATTACAGAACGCCTGCCACCATGCCCAGCTAATTTTTATATTAGAGATGGGTTTCACCATGTTGGCCAGGCTGGTCTCAAATTCCTGATCTCAGGTGATCCAAAGATCAGGATTGGCCCCCTGCAAAGTGCTGGGATTACAGGTGTCAGCCACTGTGCCTGGCCTAGGGGTTAGGAGTATTAAATATAAAATGTTTAGAACGGGACCAAGTCCGTTAACACAGCTCCACACCCTTGTTCCATATTCTAGTTTGTGGGGGTCGTGGGGGGTGGAGGTGTAGAACTTGTAAAAAGCTTTTTAAAATAAGTTGTGAATACTTCAGGTATATATTTTTTAAAAAGCATATTGGACGACAGCCAGTGTTCTACCATTCTTACCTGCTTGTCAAGACAAAACCTGCCCAAGTCCCTGTCCAACTGCATTCCAAGTGTTTTCAAATTTGGTGGTAAGACCTGACCCGAGGTTGCTTACAACCTTTACTCAGTGGGAATATGCATAGTTTACTACAGGAATGTTTGTGTTAACTTAGAGTAGCTGCCATGGATCTGTGGGGGATGGGTCTTTTCTAAATTGTTAAAAGCAGTTCATCCCATTATTAATAAACATTTCTAATATGCTGTGAAGGAGTCTATTCTTTTTTTAAATAGATATATCCATTTACTCATTGTTCCCATGAAAAAGCCTTGTATGCAAACCTCCAAGTGCTCAAGGAACAGGGCAGACAAAAATTGTTGGTAAAGGGTGCTTTACTGGGGGGACGTAGAAGCATGACGTGAGGCTGAGTGTGGTGGCTCACACCTGTGATCCCAGCACTCTGAGGGGCCAAGGTGAGTGGATTCCCTGAGGTCAGGAGTTTTGAGGCCAGCATGGTGAAACCCTATCTCTACTAAAAATACAAAAATTAATCGATGTAGTGGTGTATGCCTGTACTCACAGCTACTCGGGAAGCTGAGGCATGAGAATGGCTTGAACCTGGTAGGTGGAGGTTGCAGTGTGCCCAGATCGAGCCACTACACTCCAGCCGGAGTGACAGAGCAAAACTGTCTCAAAAATAAGCATGGGTGGCAGCAAGATAAATCTCCATGCTATCGCTCTCCAACCTAGTGCTTACGTACCGTAGGGAAAGAGTGTGCTCCAGCAAGATGAAGGCAACTACAGAACAGGCAAGAATGCTATACGAATCATCATCTAATTTGTGCAATTATGTAAAAGTTGACAAGCTTTTAAACTAGGGATGGCAAAGGAGGAATTGGAGGCATTTACAGGACTGGGCTAATCAGAAGTAAACATGGTGGATTGGCATCCAAGATGCAGTAACTTTTGTCTCCACATTCTTGCTGAAGACTGGAAAATCATCATGTGAGTCTGTTTTGTAAAAGGTAATCGAGCATACCCTACTCAACCATTTGGGGCTGGGTGC